CCCCCCCCCCCCCCCCCCCATCCCATGCAGGCTCACTAATGATAAAAAGCCCAGTCTACAGTAAATAACACTGCATTATTGAGCAAGTCTTTTCAATATTTTTCTGAGCTGTCCTATAAACGAACCGTTAGAAATGAGTACAATTAATAGAAAAGACCTCACCCTAATCGTACCTGCATGTTGTTTTACTTTTTTCCTGTTAGATGAAAATGGTCGTCCTATGACAGCACTAAAAAACGACGTTTCTTTTTCCGATCTGAATTTGGCAGTGGAAGAGTGGTTAACAAGAGACTTTAAGGTAACAGGATGTAATGGAATTATACGAAAAAGCCGGTATGGTTTTACACTGAGAAGGTTTGTGTGTGATTTCGGGAAAATCAAGTTGGTAATTGTTTGTGTTTTAGCATAATATTTTGTTGGCTCAAGTGTTCCTGTTGTCCTGGACTTACAGACACACGGCACACTCACGACTGCCTTATTAAAAAAAGCCGGGTCGAGTAAAAGAGAGGAGATGTTAGTCGCCTTCGGCTTCGTAAGTTCGTGTTTAACTTTTTACTTTATTAATGATGAGTTGGTTTGGTGTTCCACAGCGTTACGCTTCCAATTTTCGTGAGCACGGATATGATACAGCAGGATTTCTACCCGGAATGACAGATAAGGTTAGTGCTGTTTTAAAATCAAACAAAACCCACAACAATGAAACAATTAAAGTATATCCAGTAAAGTATACCCAAACCGAAACTGAAAATGAATAGAAGCCGACTACTTTCTTTTTAAACCTTGGTCGTAATAGAGAGCTCAATGATCATTTAAGATTTTCAACAGTTGCCCCTGATAATAAGTTGTGAACAGGTAACACATAAACTACAAAGTCTCGTGATGAAGAAGATAATTAAAATAAAATTAAAAGGACGTTTTTAAGGTCCACTCGAAATCCCCTCGAGGCGCGGGCGGTGAAGCTAAGTACCCCAACCGCGCCTTTCGGAGCTTCGGGCGAGAAGAATTATTTAATTTCAGTATCCGTATTAAATGTATTATATATCAAGCCACATGGATGAATCTCTCGTCCCGTAACCACCAATCTTTAATTCCTATCTTACAGACTGCTTCTTCAGACTTCATTTCTCGTCCAAGTTTGTCAGAGGGCGGCCGTTAGTTTCGTTTTCGGTTTTCTTTCCGGCCAAATCGTTGTACACACACACAATCGGTTGGCCGTTATCTCTTCAGTTTATGCATTCCTCGTGACTATTTCGTTGATCATGGTAAATCCTTCCCTTTCTACCGTTACAGTACAGTCTCAGGCACGTTACCCGGAAGAAACTTGCTTTAATTTTGTGCAAACCAATCAATTTTTTTTGATAAATATTAATCGCCTTACAGGATCTGCAACTAATTGGCATCCATACCAGAGGACATCGCCAGAGGCTTCTACGAGATATTAGGAAAATTCCGCGACTGGACATCGAAGAGGATATCCCTGTAAGGTTTCTTATGACTGGTACAAAAAGGCATAAGCCGGGATCGAATTCACTCTTATTCTTTTATCATTGGTCTTAAAATTTCGATATTAAGCCCAAGGCTTATTTGTGTTCAAAAATATAAATCTTTCCAGAAAAGAGATGTTATTTTGATTTATAAAATAACTGACATACTACGTCCGCTCTGATTGGTCAGTAGAGTTACAAACCCTATGTTCCATGGCAGCTCTACGCGGGAACGAGAGAACTCAGTACGCTAGCGATAAACATGCAGTTTCGGGATGTTTCATGTGGGATGTTGGGAGAACACTCGAAAAGCTAAATCACTCGCCTAACGGCTCGTGATTTACAAACTTTTCCCGTGTTTTCCCAACATCCCGCGTGGTTTATTGCGCCGTTAAACCCACAGAATAAGTGGTCTATTCCTTAACTTGTGGCATAGTTCTCCCAGCTTCTGGTTACGTGGAAATTACTGCAATGACATCTAATCGTGTCGTTTTGGTACGCTTAGCTTCGGCGACATAACAGGCGATTTTGGTCGAGCCATAGCTAACATATATTTTGATTATACGTAGTGGAGTAAAAATGTCCATGGCGAAAATAACCGACTTTTATATGCAACCTAAGAGTAACAAAAAGGCACGGTTAGGTATTTACTCCACCTAACTACTTCCAAATCTTCGGCTGCATCATGTCACCGACATCGGATTTCGCTTGATATCAAAAACATTTTGAATACAACTATATGCAAGTATTTAGCGAATTGTTTAGTTTTAATTCTGGTACCATTATGTTTTGTTTTAAAAGCTAGACGTTCAGGAATGGTTGGAAGAGCATGGTCTGGGCGATTATTGGCCCAAGTTTGAATCTAGTGGATATACAGAACCCAACGACTTGGAAGATTTGAAAAAGATAAACAAAGACAACCTGAAAGAGACGTTTAACATCCACAAACCTGGCCACTTCAACAGGCTTTTATTTGCCATTCGTAAACTGCAATACCCCAATCAAGGTAAGTTTCAAAAACCTGTCTCACGCTCACGGAAATTGGTATGTTACTGACTCACAGATCAGACGGAACAGGGAATTTTCCAGGCCACCATCTGTGCGCGAGCTTGAAACTTGCTGCATGCTCAGAGCATGCATGAAAAGAAAATATCTACCTTTGGTAGCCTTTAACTTATTTCATGACATAAAACATTCTGCAATTTTTATGTCATTTGGATATGAATTACAAAATTTCACTTGCAATATCTTAAGTAAGGAAACTTAGTGTCGGCGAACTGGAGTAAAACACCTCAAGAAGAGAATTCTTGTCTAATCCGGAGAAAAATAGTTCTAATAAGATGAAACTGAGCGAGAGTTAATTGATAAGAGACCTTCTTGATATAGTGACCCGGAATCAAACGAGAACAAGAGCCTGAACTCAATTCAACTAGATCCATGTTTCCATGTTCACTGATTTTCACTCACTGTTTTAGGTGATGCTTCAAGAAAATTACAAGCTGGCTCGCCCAGTTGGTTATGCCTATGGCAATATACTGAAAAACGTATCCATTAATTGCCAGATTCTTAGAGAAAAACAAAATACATAACGTCGGCCTCTTCTTAACGTGTGATTGTCCGTATTTTTTCCCAGGTCAAATCAAACTTCGTCAGACGCGGCGTGAGCTGGATCGTCTTCCATTGCTCTACCTGGATGTGGACAACCAGGACGACGGCATTGAGTATGAATTCTGGGAAGGTTTACGCCAAACATGTTTAGTCCCTGAATTAAGTGCCTTCGACCAGACTTCCAAGCTGAAAGAAAAACTCGTGGAACTGCGAAACACAGCCCTTTTGATATTTGGTGTCAGCAATGCCTTATGGATGGTAATAGTACTGACTTTGGTGCAGCAAAAAGACCTGAAGGTCTTTGGAGTAGACGTCATTGGGCTTGCTTTTCTACTTATTTACGGGTTTTTAATTATTCTTCAGTTTCTGGCACTTTTGGGCCATCGTTTCAAAACTATCGTTCATATTTTGGCGCGTACACCCTGGACACTAAGCAAGAGAGTTGGAAACAATCGTGTTTCTTCCGTTGAATCTGAGAACAGTCAACCAACGCGCTAATGACAACGCGCAAACAAAAATAAATATCAACCGGCCGAAGGCGAGAACTATTGACATTTAAATTAATTAACACTCTATTATCTGAGAGTTTGAAATATCATGAGTTTGAATATCATGAATAAAATGACTTTTTCCATTCAGGCCAGAGAGACTAGAAAAGCTGATGCAGAAGTCAACCAGATCCGTTAGCAAGACCTGTAATTTAGTCAAGGTTGTATTTTTGCGTTCGTTGTCCTTGTTGTACCTGTTATATGTGCGGGGAAGGCATGGAGTAACATAGTTATCCATTTTTCTCCTGGGTTGTTCCACGAATATCCCACTTGTGACTTGTTGCTCAAATAGAGGAAAATATTACCCGGTTAATCCAATTCAGACCAGGTGGAGAGAGACTGAAATGATTGCTTCAGGGACAAATTATCAGTTTATCTACGATTTGATGGAAAAAATGTTACCCTTCGCTAGGAAGTTACAATTATGTTGTAACAGATCAATCAGACAAGTCTTTAAGTGAGGCTTTCACACAGTAATGATTATAACGTTTGACATGCACGTTGTGTGGAAAGGCTGCCGAAAATCATCTCTATTCTTGATTAGGGGGGCAGAATATTGAAAAGTTTATCAAAAGATTTGTAAACACTTTTGCATAAAGTCACATTCACAGGAATGCCATCTAATGATATTCAAAACTAAACTCTTGTAACAGCTTTGACAGTTAACCAATCCTCACTCTTAATAATGATGTTGGATAAATCGAAACGTCGATTAACTTTCGTTTTAATCATATTCTATGATTTAGTATCTTTACTCAGTCTTTGAAATGTTCCAATGTGGATGCATAGAAACAAATATATAAATGACTCTTAGCTTGCTTTTCATTGTACTGACTAGCTATCGAAGACGACGAAAAGAAAAACTAAAAAAACACATACTGGACTTGTTGCTCCAATCACTCGACAGCTTTACTTGGAGGCTATTTTGCGAGTGTGCGAGCCCGAGCCTCGAGCCGCGAACCGCTGGTCTCTTTTACGAGCCCCGAAAGATTCCCGCCAAAAAATCGAAAAAAAAAAAAAAAAAAAAAAACAAAAAAAACAAAAAACGGGCATAATGCCGTAATATGGTATTTATTACATGCGGGGTGCTTCCACTGACGCCAAACCGACTTGTCAGGGACCAGTGGGAATACCTGAGGAAAATGGAACGAAATTTTCCGATTAAACCCGGCCAGCTGAGAGGAATGGTTCTTACCATTTTTTATTCCTTTTCCGAATTCTCTACATAAGTGAAGAGAAGTAGGGCAACGAACCGGTTTGTCAAAAATGGAACGGCAAAATTCGGCCTGACCGGTCCGATCGAAATAAGTGGACCACCTCCAAAGGTGATCCCGAATATGCCGGTCGGAAGAAACCGAAGCGGTCCTTTCCATTTGACGTCCGGCCGAAATTTCTGGAATCTTTGGCATAATGTGAAGCACCCGTGGTCTTCATGTGTTGGTGCACTGTAGCGTGGCAAGTGAGGTGATGGAGAGTTTTCCTTTTTGAAAAAATTGTTTCTACCAATTACGCAGATATTTCAGGACGGACATTTTTCCCATCTCGCTTTTGAATCACCCTGCAGATTTTGGTAGCTGCAAGCGAGGTAAACTTTTGCTAATCTTTAATTACTTTGTACCTTGTGATTTTGTTCAGCACAGTAAATTGTACTGACTTTCAGTGGGAGAAGTTTCGCGTTATAGCGAAATGAAGGGCCAATGAAGTACCTAAAAAATTTATATTCCAGCGATTGTCGGGATTCAAGCAAAACGTTAGACCAAACTGATGTGCAAATATGGTTACAACTTCTACTAATTATTGCCGGGCGGATGGGTTTTATACCCAAACTATTGAATTTCTCGAAATAAGCGGTCATCCTGTCGTTCGATTTTACCGGGGAACCATTAAAAAAAAAATAATAAGAGATTGATTTCCGGAGAGGCAAAACAACAGACAACTGGCAGGCAAAAAACAAATATATGAATCTTTCGTGGCGGTGCTTGATTAATGCTCATGCTATATCATCTTGAAAATTACCTAAATTTGGATATTTGTCGATTTTACATTTAAACAATATTTTGATACGAAAATTTACGAGGGAAACTCAAACTTTCTTTCGTACATGTAGCTGAAACTATAAACTTACTGCAAAATCCGTTCGATGAAATTACGAAAAACTACTTGCGCAGAATTTCACGCATGAAAGAAAATCGAAAAATTTTGTTTCTTCTATCAAGTGTAGCATTTACGGAGTAAAATGTTGACGTAGAATTAAACACTCAGAAAAAAAAAAAGAAAAGAAACGTAGTAGCGTGCAAAAATTAGGCTCGCGGCTTGCGACTCGCGGGCTCGCTTATTAGTCACAATCGTCGTCACACCCTTCCCTAGCCGGATGTTGTTCGCAGGTGCCCTGTTTGCTTTCACTCAAACACATGGCGTGATCCATCACGTGAAATATGTATTGCTGTTCCACCACACCGTGAAATAAATAGGCCCCAGGACCGTCCGCGTACACGCCTGCGAAGCAAAGAGTTCAACCTGTAAAACCACTTTCATTCCTCTTACTTCATATTTCTAAGCACGAATACTGGGTCAGACAAAAGCTCTGAAAAAGCGTGTTTGAGTCAGTTAAAAAGAACACACCGAACGCAAGCAGCAGCACACAGAGAAGATTGGAGGCGCTCTGTAGCAGTCTTATGTGACGCCTAGTCACGAAAGAGATAGGTGGACGCAAGGCAGACTAAGGTGAAAATTCCGATGCGTAAGGGAACATTTTTGTGTGCGTGTTGCTGAAATTTGCTTTGTTTCTTTTTTTTTTTCGCAGATATCGCTCCGTGATAATCGAGTGCGCCTGCGTCGTTCCTTCTTTCGGTTTTGGATTTTAATTTCATTTTTTATGATTGTATATGTTATAAAGCGCATTTGATCATATATATATATATGTTAATTTGCGCTATAAAAATATTAAATATTATTTTTTTCTTCTAAGAGTTTCTCGTGAAACAGGAAGCAGTAGTGCGAATAGCCCAATTTCCATACATTACTACGCCTTTCAATAACACGCGGACTCTAAAATTCAAAGCTCAACCGACAAATGCGTTTTTCGCTTCCGGTCAATCATATTTTCGGCAGCTCCTCCCAGCTTCCGACTACTGCCGAGCGCGCGGTAATCAAATCGCTGAGCACAGTTCAGACAACGAAACAGTGCTCGGCAGTAGTCGAAAGCTGAGAGGATCCACCGAACATTTGATTGGCGGTGGCGAAAAACGCATTTGTCGGTTGAGCTTTGAATTTTAGAGTCCGCATGTTATTGAAAGGCGCAGTAAAAATTGTAATTTGGCTCCGAGGCCTAGGAGAATAAATCAAAAGAAATTAATTATTAGCCTACTGTTCTCCTCGCTTAATTTCCGCAGTTCCTGAGATAGCGGGCTAACTTTTGCGAGCACCAAGAGCTGGTTATTGAGCCTGAACTTACCTCCCACATTTTTAAAATTTAAATTCAAACATACCTACGTCATCTCCTCCGTGAGTCTCGGAGCTCAACCACACTGCAGACTGCTGTTTGTAACCCCTATCTCCCGTGTCCACCCCTGTAAGGTTTTGCCTAGTGCCATTTTCCCATTCTCCTCCGGGTCCATTGGCGTATCCCAGAACTGTGTAGGGCTTTCCGTCCTTCGCTAGTCTGGGTTCAGTATAACCATAACCAAGCGCCAAACCGAAGATGGGATTTCCGCGCACTGGGTAACCAGCCATGGTGAAAACGTGAGAATGGTCTGCGGTTACTATTAGAAGAGTTTCGTCTGTAGTGAAAAAAGAGAAGCAAATAAAGGATGGGCCTTAACAACGCCGTCGACTTGTACGGTCTCAACTCTATTCTCGTTGCTTGAGTAAAGTGACAGGTCTTTTTTACCAGCTGAATTCATCCCCCCAGTTCACGTCTTAGATGGTATGGATGAATCTGCTAGAATCTCAGTTATGAATTGAATTGCCTGCGATCAAGCGGTTTGGGGGGGGGGGGGGGGGGGGGGGCAGGTAAGAAACGTGATGAAGGCAAAAATTAGTGTGTGATATTTGAAAAGCAACTAAAGACGTACGTGATTCGCGAAGTTATGAAAACGCCATATTCTCTTAGGAGAGTATTCCACTTAACTGTGAGAGGCTTAAAGGATCTACGTCACCGTTTGCGTATGTTGAAAACTTAAGCCTAAATTTGTCAAGTTCTATGCAATTTGTAATCCGTGTTAATCTTCTCCATCCTTAGCCATCCTTGTTCCTTTATGGTTCATTATTATAAAGTTCAGTGTCTTTCTGTCTTAGTAGACTATTATTTTCAGATTTCCTTCAATTCAAAGATAATTTCATACATGGCCAAAATACCGTGACTGAGCTCCTTTACGACGCGGTACCTGTGTGTGGTTCGGATAACAACTGAGTAATCAATGACATGAGCTGTCTACTTGTGGGAAGTAAAAGATGTTTTACATGTGTACTGCTACGATTACCACAGAAGCCGAGAGTCACTCGGTGACAGAGGTGTCTTTTCGAGAGAAGTCTGGGTCTGGCGCATGCGGAATACTTCCTACTTACCAGTGACGTTTGTGGAGAATCCTGATTGGCTGTTTCTCTACAGCGCATTTATTTTATATACTATACTGCAATTCCCAAGAGCTCCATAAAATCTCATCTCATACTACATGTAATTTCCAATGGTATGTTGATAAAATAATTGTCAACCATACAGAAGGCAATTATTTTCTCCCTCTTTGACTTCAATGTGGTATTACTAACATGTAAATCATTTTGCATGGAAAAATGCAAAGGGGATCTTGTGATTTTTCATATTGAACTTGGTCAAATGGCAACTTGCTCAACCAAATTTGAATTGCCTTGCTTTGTAAAAACTGTCAATCAAAGCTCAAAAATCACAGGGAGTATATCCTTGAGATACATGTCATTTTGCAAGTTTTCTTCTTCATTTTCCAGTTACCATTGACCTGCGATGTTGCTTCTGACCGTGGTATTTTGTATAATGAAGTGTTTCACGATTCTGTAAGGGAACTTTATCTGTGTCAGTGACTAAAAGAAATTGTGTTAAAGGTAATCATTTGTAATTGAATTTTTGTTATTAACAGGCAATCCCCGGGCGGTTACTTTTACGAGAAGGCCACAAATAACTCAAACTACAGGTAATGAAATTTATTTCTTTGTTAATGAATTGAACACAGCCGTTTATCATGAAATTTTGCCAGGAGGCCTCATGGTTAGTGCGCTCGTCTCCGGATCGAGCGGTCCGGGTTCGAGCCCTGGCCGGGGACATTGTGTTGTGTTCTTGTGCAAGACACTTAANACAATGCCTATTTATTGACGGAAATGTACAATGCTTCCAATGGTGGCAGTACATTTTTCTCGCTTACATTGTAGTGTTTTTGATGCCCTTTATCTTAGTTCTTTACTTTGGTTCCTTCAAACTTTATAAGTCATCCATAAGCGCAAATGAGTTCCTTGCGGCTTGCATTTTTCCATTGCCATTTATCCTGTGCTGGTCTCTCAAAGAAATTCGAAAACGAAGAGTGAGCGATTTTACGAATGCACAGGAAGAGAGCGACGACGTTTTGGAAGTTCTTCATGGTCCATTTCGCCCACCAAGCACTAATGACGGAGGAACACTGTACTGGGAAAGTATTCTGATTGGACGACGGTTTGTCCTTCTCGCATGCCATACGTTTATTCACAATGCAATGTTGCGTATGGTTTGCATGACTTTCGCTTGCCTCCTGATGACCCTTCATCACATGTTGAAGAATCCATATCGAGACCCACTGGCTAATAAAGCAGAGACTTTGTCCCTTTCTGCTTTGACAATGATTGCAGCAATCAACCTACCAAGGGCAACCTTGCTTTTTATTGGCTTAGATCTGGGGCCGGCGAAATCTTACCTGGATCACCTGGAGTGGATTGAAGTAGGAGCCTTGGCTTTTATTCCAGTGTTAGTGTTGCTCTTGGTCACTTTTGCATTTCTCTCCCAGATAGCAAGATTCGTAGCCTTCCTCATCAAACATATACGACATTGGTGGCAACTCTGTACGTCTGCTTCGTTCATGGACGAAAGGAGACTTCTGCTGGATGTAGGCGAACTTTATGGTGATTCTGAACCTTAACATTATTTACGCCTAGTTTATCAGTTTTGCCTTTTTGGTTTAGGTGGGTGGAATCTGCTAGGTTTCGCTACTTCCTCCCTCCTTTCTCCAAGTGTTTTGAGTACCAGGGCTTGTATGCTTTGTATAGTTAATCCCTTTAAAACTAAATGGTTGCTATTATCCTGTACGCAATAGGAAGACCGTTATAAAATTAATGTTAAGAGAAATCTCAGGGTGGTCAACGTTATCTAAAATGGAAAGATTTTGCTGGACAGTTTGAAAATTTGATAATTTGTAGGACTTGCACAAAAAAGGATTGGAGTTTGACTTGATGGTAAAGATTGTAATTCCAGCAGAATTCCTCTAAGCTTTACAGAATTTTTGATGAAAAAGGATTGGAGTTTGACATGGTAAGGATTGTAATTCCTGTAGAAATCCTTGAAAAGTTACAGAATTTCTGGTGAAAAAGGATTGGAGTGTGTCTTGATGGTAAGGATTGTAATAACTGTAAAAATCCTTGTCACCCCAAAAACCATAGAAATCCGCCCTTTTGAGATATAAGCCTGGAAATTTCCTTCCTAACTTTTTACGTGGTTGTTGTATCACCCATAAAATTGCATGTTTTATTGATTTGAAACACAACTAAAATGTTAAGAACAAGCACTAAGAATTTCACACCACGCTATTCTGGTGGAATCACAAATTAAATAGGCACCCACATAATTAATGTTCAACAACAATGACAGAGGTTATGCCCTCGAGGAGCAAATTTACATTTTGATAATCAAAGTTAACAACTTTTTTTTTTCTTTTTTTCATCGCGGTGTTTTCTAAAAGAACTAGAAAACATGTTTTCCGTGTTTCTATCGAGTTATAGAGATACTCGTGAAAGTTTGGGAGAACTCGAAAAAGCTGTGGACACACTTGCCTGCGGCTCGTGTTTCCACGGCATTTCTCGTTCTCCCAAACTTCCACGCGTGTTTCTATAACTCGATAGAAACACGGTACATGTTTTCTATTTCTTACATACAATACACTGATACAATACAATACAATACAATACAATACAATACAATACAATACAATACAATACAATACAATACAATACAATACAATACAATACTATACTATACTATACAATACAATGCAGTACAAGATATGGTACGAATGAATGCCTGAACGTTACGGTATCTTTCTCGGACAAAAGTTCAAACAAAGTAGGAGGATCAGTTCGGTTGAAATGTTTATACGAAATAAAGTTCGCTAATTGGAAATTAAAAGTAATTTTAAAAAAGTCCTTTATTCGTCTCACGTTTAATCTAACAATCTAACAATTTATAAAGCTCAAAACTGCAAAACGCAGATAACATGAATCAATGAAGCCGACATGTCATTCAAATAATCTTTAATACTCAGCCCACAGGTTTTCATTCTTTTCTTCATAGCTTGTGTATTTCCATGCTTATCTCATTATCCTCTTCAATCAATCAATCAATCCTTTATTTGTTAGAGCAGGTTTATAATTACAAGATTGAATGAACAATATTGAATCGGCAGCCAAAAGGCTGATGTGGACCTGCTTATAATAGTAAAATAACTAAAATAAAAATAAAACAATGATTAGAATTAAAATACCTTATTAACTTAATAATAAATAAAATCATCTGTCTTGTTTGAAATCAAAATGG